CCAAGCTTAACATGCTTTCCTTAAATAGCTTCTCTTGCTGCCACTGCTGGAGACAAAATCCTGAGCTAAATGCACCATTAACATGACCCAGGAGGACATTCCTTATACTAATATTTTTCCATGTTTCTTCTTTTTAAAGGTAGGAGATACAGAGAAAAATATAAAGACAGGATGAAATTTTTTCCACCTTGTTTCCTGACATACCAGCGAGATGGAAATCAGTGCAGTTTAACATCTTATTTTTTTCTTTTCTTCCCCCCCCCCCCAGTATTCTGGAAATAAAGAGGGTGAAATTTAACAGTAGGATACCCCAACAGTCCCCACAGCAGAGCAAGTGGGGGAAGAGTCTAAATCCAGGGAATCTACTGGGAATTCTGCAAAAACAGAATCTCCACCTGGGGGTTAATGGGTCTACACTATTCTTTTTGTTTTGCTTTCGAAAACAGCCATTTCCGAGAGGGCCCCATACTTTACATGGCCATATTTTGTGATTAAGCTTTTTGGTAGTTAATACACATTCTCCCTCATGATTTTTCATAGAAGAAAAACCTGGAAAATACAATGGTGGTCAGAATGAACCTGTGCGAAGTGAATCACACGGGACTAACATCTGGTGGGAGTAAGAATGTAGAAGTTGCCCCAGCTCCATCCGAAGGAAAACCCAGGAAAAGGTCTAAAATTCTGCACTGGTGATTAAGCACTACTGATTACAGTGGATGCTGCACACTCATTAATCCATTGTTATACTGATAGTAACAGAAAACGCTCATTTCTGCTCTTTACCAATTTAGCATAACAAGAAAAAATTGCAGTGGAAAACTAGTTTTCCACTGCATCGAGATGCCTGAGCCGACACAACATCGCCATCCGTTCCATGTTCTCATACGTGAGACGCTTTTTTTTCTTATGTTACATCCCTTTTCACAGGTAAGTCATTAAGATAAGAGAATAATCAGAGCCAATGCCTCAAAGGTATGATAAATTAGACCAGCTCTGAAAGAGATGGATAATCGCTGCAACTAAAGAATGCAGCAAGGCACCTGCTGAAACTCAGTAGGAGCCAACTTCAATTTATCAAAACTTTAAAAATTTATGTTGGTGAAAAAGGGAGTAACACTTGACTACAGTCTGTTCAGAGCCAACAGCAGTATACGGGTTCCTTCTGACTGAATGGACGTGGTTTCATGAGCATTTCTTAAAAAGGTCACTTACACAGCCTCCCCCGCGGCCGTTACATCAGGGTGCCTATCCTGCCTCAGAGCTGCAACTGGACAAGAGGAACCAGAGTACCCTGCCTGACCTGAAGACTGACGGATTTCTTGTTCTCAAGAGCTCTCTTCAAAAGTTTCAATACACGTTTCTGAGTAATAGTGTAGCTGGGCTTTGTTTTTGGTTTAATCAGGATGAACACCGTAAGATGGAGAGAACAACTTTTTCTCCTGAAAAATAAGAAGGAAATCGTGTGCCTTCCTTTAATTCCATCTTTCTAATAAGGCTACAAGTAACAAAATCTTTAGTGGAGTAAGCTTGATTAGCCTATTCATGAACACAATTCAGATTCTTCTGAAAAAATGTCAAATTCCAAATTGCACAATAATAATCCAATTCCTGCAGGAAAAAAAAGACAAAATATGAACAATTAAGTAAAAGCCTAATTCTATTTTGAAGTACATCACCTTTCATCATGGATCATTCAAAAACATCATGAGTATGTTCCAAACAACTACTCAACAAAAACAGTAAAGAACATGCGGCAAAAGTACAAAACTCCTTTGCACTACTGACAGATAATTTCACTGAAGTATTAACACTAGCGTAAAATATCTAGGCGTTGTTTCATTTAATTTTGAAAATACCACGTAGAAAACAATGCTCATAATTCCATCCACAGGATTCTACAAAGCCGCTGCTTCATTCAACAAATCTTTGAACTGTTTCAATATGAAAATTCCATTTTTTCAAATTGCTCAAAAATCATTGCAGAAAATTTCCAAGCACTTGAATTGAAGCAAAACCAAAGTATGAACTTGGTACATTTTTGCAGTTATTTCTAAAATAAGTTAATTTACATAAGTAGTCTCAAAATAACACAATGGGATTCAACTTCATTTTAGACATTTGGAAAGCAGTGTCATACTTTATTTAAAATAAACCCATGTAAAAACAAAGTTTAAATGAAAATGGTACCTGAAAAATAAATTATTTGATATAAAACAAATCAATAACTTAAAAACACACTAAATATACAAAATGTTTAACCATATACTGTACAGTATGGAAAACAATTGATAAAACCTTCTGTCCCACAAACAGATTAATTTATAAACAAAAGATTACATAAGTTAAGGGAAATTAAATCAATAAAAAGACTAGAAGTACAGTATTATTCAAAATTACTGGTCAAATAAAGGTTTATCCCAACTTATGTTTCAAATGTCTCAAGTCATTTTCTTCTCAATGACCAAGTGAAAAAGTTCAGCTGTACCACTGAAAAGTTGCTCAAAAATGTCTAAAAATAAGGAACAATAGTATGAGAATAAAGATTCTAAAACGTGAATACAGTAGCAATTTTTCAAGTTTTCAGGTGGTAGTTCTACTGTTACTGATTTTCCATCGTTATCAACAAAAAGAATTTAAGTGCTGAAAATTCCACTCAACAGAAAAATATTTCTAGTTCAACCTTTGTAAATGTTTTATCAAGTGTGATATATATAACAAATAACCGCAGCAAGACTGAAGAAAACAATACAGGACTTAAAAGTCAAATCCACTCACTGGGTGTTGTGTTTTGCTTTAGAGATCATAAAGGCTTCAACTTTTTTAAATCATGCAGAAGGAGAAAGCAACACTTGAAGTTTTGTTCAGTTTTAATACATAAGACTACTACAAAAAAAGCAATCACAAAAATGATGCTGTACCTGATTAATCTAAAAGTAGACACTTTTCGAAATTAACTGCAATTTTCAATTCTGCCAGCTGTGCCACGGAGAAGTCGCACAATACGCAGGTACCACCTCTTACAAGCAAGAGGGAGGTAATTGCGACCCTTTTTATGAACTCCACGCTTTTTAAATTAATAAGTAGAAAACCAATAAGGTATAATAAACATAGAAAATAAACACTAGCCTTTTGATCTTCATATTTATCAGTTCTATTGTGCTGAGTATCCAACATTGAGAAGTGCAGAGCTACATTAAAGGAACTTGCCTATGGCACAGAGAGCCTCTTCTGCTTCCAGACATAGAGATTAAAGTACCTAGGGTGATAAATTCAGTTCTTGGGGAAAAAAAACAAAAAACAAACCACCAAGTGCAGCTCCACTAAGGGAGCTCAAAGGGAGCTGTGTTTTCTTATGCTAAATGTGAATTTGGTCCCTTCACTCTAAAGCTATTCTTAGGAGCCTAAAAGTAAAAACGTTACAATAAGGTGCTTCACTGACAGTGTTACAAAGGACAAATTTCCTCATTACGGAAGTCAAAAACATGGTAACCTTATGACAGAGGTAGCATTAGGACAAATTGCTCTGAATTTGACTTCTGTGATTGAACCATGAGATCACCGTCAGTAGTTCACAAAAAGCTGTATGTTAAAAAACCTCCCACAAACCCTAACATTTTGCAGGTAGATATATCGGAGGACCTACTTTCAATAAACAGTTTATTATAAGACCTGTTTATTTTGTTGAAAAAGTAAACGTGGGGACATTCTCCAAGTTTTTTTTTTTTCTTAAAAGCACGTAAATAACTATAAACTATCCAAAAGAGTAACGTTAGTTATTACAGTTTAGAATACACTGAAAAAAATCTCTCCTGAAATGTTTGAAGAATCTCTACTTTATTGACCTTACCCAGAACATTAAAGCAACGTAAAATTATAATAAATGTTTAAGGACCTTAGGGACTATTCATTTCCAAAACTTAACATTCAAAATAATGGATCACCTTTACAGTTATTTCATCATTTTGGTTTTAACTGCTGCACATTCTTTCTATAAATGTAGCTATGCCAATTTTTAATTTTTTTTTTTTTTAAAGATTTTTAATTGCTTTGTGTAAACATTACTACAACATTCAATGCCCCTACAAAAATAGGTGTCCTCTCCATACTGACACCCTTTGGTCATCTGAACAGGTGTAAGTGACCACAAACTGACCAACTAGTACTCACTGCAGTGAGAAATTTATCCTACTTTAGCGATACGTGTGTGTATCTGAATTTTCAGTGGTTTTCATGCTATCATGATACAGATGTACTGAAAAAAACATAACCAACCAGAGGGAAGGAAAAAGATGTGTGGACACACACCACTATGGGGACGCTGTTCTGGACAGTGGTGTTTCCTGACTTCTCCTTCCACCCTAAAAGATGGATCCCCAAGTCCTTCTCAGTCCCAGATCTAGAGCAGAAGTGAAAGGATTGGCACAAGCTCGGCACAGGAGGCAACGTTAACTGCATTGGCTCGGTTCCTCTCCCTCTACACAGAGAAGTGGAGCACAGCATCTCAAGTAAACCAAACTTTATGATGACGTAGCTTGAAGAAAATAAATCAACACTTTAGTATACAGACACCCTCTAAAATGGAATCACAAAAGAACTAAACACACTAAGCTGCGTTGATTCTGCTCATGTTCATAGCTTTTCTGATGTTGCCATCTCCTCATCTCAAGGAACTGTACTTGCCTCTGCCAGCTTATACAAAGCACACAGCAACATTAGAATTTTCTTTTCTGTATTCACTGTGAAATTTCCCTATCTGCAAATGGGTAACCAAAGGTTTAAACTGTGATTAGGTTTGTGGCTAGCTTTCTGCACAGGAGTGAATTCCATTCATAGTAGAAATCTGGGAAGCAAACGTAACTTACTGAGCAGGAATAAAAACTTACTAATAAATCAACAGACTGGAAAAAAACAAGTCTGAATAAAGCCTTCAAGGAATTTTAATTTTGACAAAACTCAAAGTTTTTACGTAGTAAGAAAACCTGATTTTTTTTTTTTTTTAATTATTTTTTATTCTGTACAACACAACTAAAGCCCAGAACATCTTCAGAGAAGTTTAGAGGTGGTCTTCAACCACAATCAGGACAGTTTTGCTCTTAACTAGGCATTGTCTCATTTTAGAGTGAAACTCCACAGTCTTGCAAAGAATGAAGACTGCTCATATGCAATTTTGGAAGCAGCCCCACAACAAGCGTGTTCAACAGCCATGCCTTGGCCTGGTAAGAGCCTTCCTGGAGTGCCAGATAAAACAAGTATTTGAAAAAAGTGGAGAAGAGGATAGGTACCAAGTAAGGGCAGCAGAGGTTCCCTTTCAAAAGAAATACCAAGATAAAACAAAGTGATTCTAAAGCTAAAAGTGACAAAGCAATAATTAAAGTAACACCAGACATTCAACAGCTGGTAAAATTTCCTGAAAAAGATAATTGGCTTAACATTCGAAGTCCTGAAGGCTAATCAAGTCCCGGCTGTATGATCCTGCCTTTGCATAGTAAGCCACAGAAGCCAAGGCTCAAAGGTGACCGATTTGCAGACTGCCTTCCAAACGAGATGGCCTACAGCCAGCGAAGTGAAAACCCAGGGTGACTCACCGCCGGAAAAAGCTACAGAAGCAAAGGCCAGTTTCTGCTGAAGTGCATTCACATGCAAACAAGTTCTCTCTTTGTGAAAGCAAGTGAGTTTTGGACACAAAGCAGACAGGTCCATTCAAAAATAGACCCCAGCTGAAGCCTGACAACAGTATCACTGGTCTTCCTGTTTGTACTCCCAATTGGCAGATCTTCAGCTCTAAGGCTAGCTACCCTGACCATAAGGAGATCGATGAAAAAGCCTCCTCTATCCTTTTCTTTTTAAACACAGGCAGATAAACTTCTCATTTTGTCACCATATTTGTGTGATCAAATAAGTGTAAAAAGAAAATGGTGTTGCCCAAATTGCAGGTTCATGAAAGCCGGATCGATCCCTTCAGAAATGCTGGCACAAAAAACCATGCCCCATCCCCTGAGACATCATAATTCTCTTCAACATCTACACACGGGACCCTGCAATAGCAACATGGCCATAACTATGTGTTTTCATCAGGAATTATACCTGATCCTTCAGAAGCAGGTACCTGGGGGTGTCCTGCAAGGCTTCTCACCTATTCTGAAGGACCCCAAAACATTCACCATCGCAGCTGTTCCCTGTAGCACATCTCCAGTATGGACCATCAAATCCAGGTCTTTAAAATCTGATCATCACGTCCTAATCCAGCAACCAAGACTTTCTAGTATTCTCTACCTTATTGAGCCTACTGCATCTCATGGGAAATGTACAGGACCTCTGGATTGAGACAGGCCTTTGGTTTTACAAAGATCTTGTAAGCACTGACTGAGACAGAAGGGTCACCTGAAACAAACGTCTATATTTCATCAAATTAAAGGATGAAAAAGCAGAACGCATCCGCAGTTTTTCTAAACTCCCTGAGGATTAAGAGGCCAAAACCTCTCCTGAAACAGGTATGTTCAAGGGAGAGCTTCAGAGGAGGGTATGCTGGGTGACATAAGGAAACCAGTTGCTCATACCTTTTGCGTAGAAAAACTGCTGGGAGATTACTTGTTGTTAGAATTTAGTTTCCACTTCCATAAGTTTCCTTTCTGTATTTACTAGTAGGATGCATGGACTATTGTTTAGGACCAAAAGCATCAAGAATACATAGACAATTTTTTCTTGACTTCAGCTATTTATGCCAAGTATTTATTGACTGTTAGAATGGTGCAGACCATACACCACTTCTCGTATCAGCTCTTGATATTTTAGCAGGATTTTTTTTCCCCCTCTTTTCCTGACTCAAGCAGCAGTGCTTTGCTCATGTAAATTGCCTGGTAACTATTTTCAGAGCAACTAATCAAAGGAAGCTGGGATCAGATGTTTCCTAAAAGAGATGGTTTCATACCACTACTGAAACAGTATCCACGCAGGATATTCCTTCTTATTTAGCAAAGAACAAGAGATGGAAAAATAGGGAAGCAGTCAGATGACAGTGATGCCAAAAAGCCTCCAAGGAAAGTTTTTTAAAAATGTGACAGCTAGTGAACTCACAGCAGTGTGCTGCTGATATGGTTGCAATGGTCAGCATGCTTGTAATGATTACTGATGCAAAGTCATATTTAGGGTGTCATTCGTTGGAAGTCTGAACGCCCATCTAAGTGCTGTGATAAAACAGCAACTCCCAATTAGTTTGGAAATTAATCTTATATGAAATAAGGCAAGAGAAAATGACAGGAAATTGGAAACGACTGCAGACCCACTCCTGTGGAACAGCATAGTGTGAGGTTAAGAGGTGATGGGACACAGTACGAGGACTTCTCTATACTATGCAGTTTTAACTTGGGAGAAATCCCCCGAATGCTTCTGAATCTCTCCTTGTACACAGAAAAGTAGTATTTGTTGAAGCGATAAAGGAGTGATGATAAATTGGTGGAAACATCTGGAATAGACACTGGAATAGACAGCTGGAAAGCACTCTTTGCAGGGTTGGAGTTGGTTGGTTGCTTTGCCACAGCCACCGTTTTACAGACCACCGTGCTTCTCAGAAGATGGTAGAGTGAACCGGACTGGCATGAAAGGCAAGGCTGAATGTATTAATAGCAGAAATCCCACTTATATTCACTGCACACAAGCTCAAAAACAATGGGAGGCTGCTCACTCCGCCAAGGCCTATCTGTACGGCTTTAATTATGCCATGGCAGTTCCAGAAATATCAGCAACAGCATTTCCTAGACAGTGCTGAAGGTAATTAATGGAGATGGGCAGCTAGTTCAGCCACCTTTCAGCAGCGGCGTGCAGAGATGCTGATGCAGACTTCTTCAGGCTGTGCAAGACTGCAGATCCTATTACAGGAAGAGGAGAAATAATTGCAAACAGAAGGCAAGATCAGCTAGGGATGGAGCGATACGAGCAGGCGGCATGGAATGGCCTCTGGAATTTGAAAATAAACTTTGGGACTGGTAGAGGTTCACGCAAAAAAAAGGAGACACTGCAATAAAACTGCCACTCTCCCCATTTTCGCGTTTGCTCTACCTTCTGGCAACTGAACATGAACACTAGACCCGAAAGTCGCCCAGGCCAAGTCTCTAGTCGTGCACAGTATCCTTTCACAGCCTTTACCTGATAGAGTAATCCTTTTCAGGTTTCCTACCAAAGAACACCTGCAGGGTTACATCAGTCTGTGGCACACAGTTTCTATGCGACAGATTTATTGTAGTGCTCTTGTTTCACAACCCTTTTTCTTCTACTCATCTGTCAAAGGAGTAACTTAAAACTCTTAAAGAGGAACTATAGTTCTTTAAAACAACACTCTTTGAAAGCTGGACACTTTGTGCAATACTTAGCAAAAAAATAACAGAAAATAAAAAACAAAACAAAATTTGAGCAAAACAAAATCAAATTTAATGTTCTTAAATGCAAAAGTAAAAACAAACAAAAAACACAAAAAAGCAAAAGAAAATTAACAGAAACAGAACAACTCAAAGTTTCAAGGCAGTCTGCAGAAGACTTGGGGGATTAATCTTTAAATCTACAAATCAAAGGGTTTTTTGTTAATATCTAACTTGCAAGTAGTAAGTACTTTTCTGCTGAGTGTTCAATAAGTAAAGCTAGTTGTCAAAACAAAATCCTATTAAAATAGAAAAATCTAGCACTCATTAGAAGGGATGCGAGAAATACAATGCTCAAATGTTTATAACTTTTTTCTTTACAAAACAGAACTACCAAAGGAATTCAAACTATAATGATCTTTGAAAATGAGTAAGTATCTTGCTGCATTATAATGTACCAGTAAGTAGTGCACCATGCATTAAATATTTGGACAGAAGAGATTCAGTTTGATAAAGTAGCAACATATATTCACACTCTCTTTCTGGAGTTTCATTTTGACTCTGAAATCTTCCCGGAGTTTCTTTGAAACTCTTTGGTCCATTCCTATTAGAAAGTGGGCTTTAAAAGTAATGTTTCTAAAACCTTTGAATTTGACAGCTTGGCCACTGCTCAGTGTGCAACTTACCTCATCAATGGTGTTAAAAGTTATGCTGGCATGCTACTACTTACAAGACCTTGACTTTAAAAAGCCTAATCCTCAACTATATATGTAGTAATGAATATTAATTGATCAAACAATTTACTGTCAACTAAAACATTAGTATTTCTCAACTTTTCTTCCATACTACCGAGTCTGGGGTAGAGAAGGTCAGGGGAATGGGTAGGAAAAACAACAACATAAAAAACAAGAAAATTAATGAATTCAGCCTGATATTTTTCAGAAAATTCCAGTTTTTGCAGACAACATTCAATGGAACAAATGTTAGTCTCATAAGTGAAAGCATGCTTCAATTTTACCACCATCCAGAGGGTCTAGTTAATGCAATCTAGTTAAGATTTCAGGGGATTTTTAACATGTTTGAAATGAATAACTTAAAGGAACTTAAAATTGGTCTAACATTGTGGGATTTCAAACATTTGAACATGTCAGTTGCATCCCAGAATATAAAACCTTTTTCACTTCTCATTTAGACTAAGACAAACACTTGTGAAAATTGGCGCAAAATGAATTTTACACTAACAAAAATGTTTCAACTTCTGTCACTCAATTATCTATTCCATACAAAACGCACGAGCAAGTTATTTGTGGGACTTGTTGGTTTTGAAGGAAACCTGTAAGATTTTGTCCCCCAGGCGGTAGCCATTAAGACTTGCTATGGCCATTGCAGCTTCTTCATAGTTTGTCATGGTCACAAAACCAAAACCTTTGCACTTGTTGGTGTTGAAATCTCGAATAACTTTCACATTGGTAACCGCACCAAAGGGGCCAAACATCTGCCAGAGGATTCCCTCATCAGCATCTTGACCAAGGTTGTAGATGAAGATACACCAGCCAGAAGATGCGTTTCCTGGAACATTTACACCAGAAAGCCCACTCATGTGATCTACACCCATAGGAGAGAACCTAGCAAATAAAAAGCACAATATTTCATGTAAAAGTTCAATTCAATTAAGCAAGTTAACTTGAATGGGAAGCAACTGAGAATGAATATTTTCTACATGGACATCAAAACCGCCAGAAAGAAATGTTTCCCCATTCAAATTGACAATCAAATTGACAGCTACCAGGAGAAAAAAAAGTTAAGTATTCCAACTACTTTATCAATAGGGAACTATCCTTAGAAATAGGAAGGCAACAGAACAGCTGCAAGGCAAGATTACGTGATCACCTTCAGAGGGGACCTGGATCGAACTCTGAAACTCAGCTAGGCTGTTAAGAGTGCTCCGTGGCATCAGTGCAGAATTGCTCCAGTGCAGACAACAGGCAACACCTCCCCAGAGGCCCCAGCTTGCTTCAAGCCACCCTCAGGCATCTCCCACTTATTTTGCTCAAGGAGTTTGCATCCTATATCCTCCTTTTCTTGCCTCTAAAATAGCATGTTGGGAACTCTTAAGTCAAAGGGTTTCTTTGGGTTTTGCTGGGGGGGAGGGAGGGAGGGAGGGGATGTTTCATATTTAGGAGTGGAGATTGTGTGTATTAATTTGAATTTCTTTTTTTTGTGGAACAGCACAAAACCTACTCCCTTTTCCACCGTAAGGCAACAGGTGCAGGCAAACACTCCCAATACCAACAGGCTGCTAAATAAGTCATGCATACTCGCATGACTGACTTCCTCAGTCAATTCTCAGTAGCTGGGATGCCCCATGTTTCTAGCTGCAGAATTTAAATCGTAGGGTTTTTTTCCTTAATACTAGTTATGCAGATATTCTAGCTGCGGTAGCTTTCAAATATCAAAATAGCAAACCACATTTAAGCACACAGTTTTACAATTTCAGTATGCGTGTATGTTTTTATTCTCATTAATTTTACACCAACTTCATACTAGGAAAACTTATCTGACTTTACCGAACTGTACTTTTTAAATCACCTACCCACTCTTCCTAAACCCTGCCTTCTGCATAGTACCCCAGCAGTATTTATGCTAACAAAACACAAAAAACCCTCTCCTTTTTATGTCTTGCTTTGTATTATTTTCTTTTCTCCTATAACCCACATCTCTAATTCCCCTTTATTCTATTTCTGGTCTCCATCCTAGAAGTTCAAAGCTTCAGAATATTTTAACGCAATATTACGGTTGCACAGCTAAGCACTCAAAGATCAGGAAATGTGAAAGTTAAGGTAAAAAACTCAATTTGATCCCTTGTGCTTATGTATTATTTAAAAATGTGAGGTCACGTGATTGTAGAAATATAATTATACTATACCAGGGGTTCCCAAACTGTGGTGTACCACTGGTGATATGCAAACCACTTAAAAGCGGTACACGTGCTGCTCTCTGCCAAGAACATGGCGGTGGCAGTTCCTGATTCTCTGCTGACCTGGAGAAAACAGGGAATGGATGTCTGGGCAGTGAACACTGCATTAAGTGCCAAACACTTCCCCACTGACTTTTTCTTGCCCTGCGTAAAGATAGGAGCTGCTGCTGTCTTTATATAGAAGGGAGGGCTCAAGGCAACATGTATCAGAAGGAAGGGGATCAGAGCTGCACACACATACACACAGCGAAGTCAGCTCATGTTCGGTGTGGTGCTTTGGTTGATGCACTCATACGAGAGAACCACTCAGTCACCATCTCCCCCACCCCCGGCTCTCCAGTGCTCAGAGCTCATTTCTTTGGACACCTGAGCTATTAGACCCTCTTGTACCCAGAGCAGGGGGAGTCTCGGTGGTACAGACCCCTTCCCCTCCATCACACCCTAGCTGTTGCTGACTGCCTGGAGTCAGCCAGAGCTGATCTGGCTCAGCCAGGCTGCAGCCCAGCTGGCTACCTGACACTGGTGTTTCTAGAGCACAGTGCGGACACACCTGAGCTCATGCTGCACATACTCACTGCCGCTGCCACTGTTGGCCAGCCCCAAGCAAATCCAAGTTTGGGAATCCTTGTACTATAGTAAAACTGAAAAAGCAGTTAAGAGTATCAGAATGTGAATGAGATGCACTAATCCATGTGATCTGATGATTATGTGACATATCTACTATTTATTTTGCTTTTATATAAAAACGTTCCTGTGTTTGCATGCTTTATACTCTTACTTTTTCTGACAGACACCTTCAGCTGTGTAGCTTCTTTCCATTTGAGTAATGATCTGGTAGGATGTATTTACCTTAATATCTGGAAAGTTTTCATCTGAACAGATCACCAGTCTTGGGTTCCTGCTCACATGTACGGGGAGCAGAAAATCACTAAGCTCAGAATTGCATGATGTTGGTTCCAGCAGTCAGTGTAGCTCTGAACCTGCTTGCTATAAAGCCTCAGGCTCTGCCTACAAGCCCAGATCAACAGTACATGAAGGATTGGAAGCACTTGTAGAAGAGCAGCTGGGGGTTGAACGCAGGAAGACAGCAAATCTAAATGCATATTACAGGCAAAATAATTTAAAATAGCAAGTACCTCTGTTCTTTGTATACACTAATTTTCAAACAGATTCTCCTCTCTTCCTGCTTTGACTCACAAAAATGTTACAGGCTTATAAAAAAACCAAACAACAAAAACAACAGGGTAAAAACACCCCTAAAAGACTTGAAAAGTCATTTCAAAAAACAACCATAGGAAATATCACTTCACACATAATATTCCTCTTACCCGGACCTAACATGATTCTAAAGTGAAGTTATACTTTGCAAGTTCACATGAAAAAGAAACCTTTCGCAAAAGTTTCTGGCTGGTTAAAAAGCAACCATCAAAAAAGAAATTTGCAAAAGTGACAGTAAATGTGGTATAGGATTAGACCTATGTGGAAGGCTAAGTTTACATTTAGACTTGCATCCACCTGGAAGCATCACATGGGACGTCTGGCATGAGTGAGAGCACTCACACGATGAGCGGAGCGGGCTCCTACTGCAATTCAGCTGACCTGATAAATCTCTAGGCTTATCCTGGACTGAAGGCGTGCACAAGAGGGACACAAGACCTCTTGGTTGGCTGTTGGGATAACAGCCTGTATGTAGCCAGGCACAGAGCAGCTGACACATAGTACCTCTTTGTCCTACAGGAAAAGACTTTTTTTGACCACACAAATTTAAGATGACTCTTAAAAAGTTACACTTATTAAGGATGTTTAAAAGACCATCTGATTTGGGCAAACACCACTAAAGTCCAGAGAGATCCAAGATGTTTCAGAGAAAATTTTTTTTAAATTCCATTAATACTGTAATTTGAACGATCTCAGTCTTACCAGACTTACTGCTGGTGCCCTCATTTTTGTTGCATTTATTTTATATATATATTTTATAATTATATATTTATATTATACTGTCTCTTCCACATTGCTTTTTCAATCGTCCCTAAGCATCTGTAGATGATGTTGTCTATGGATGGTTCTTTTAAGTTATGTTAACCACAAAACTCCAACATCTTGTGACATTAAGTATCAACACACTAAGTATTTTTTTAATTTTAATCTTTTTCACTTTATAAGCTTCTCATTTATATGAATGACCTTTTGCTCTACTGTTATAAGAGACTGCTTCATTTAATAGATTCTGGGATTATTTTAACACACTCGAGGACACAATCTCAGAAGTGACACTCCTAAACAAAAACAATTTATTTTTAGTTCTATGAAAGTCCTATAAATTCTTTTTGCTGAATTCTTTTCACTGCAATCTGAGAACAGCTATATACAGCACAGGTGGGAGCAATCCCACAGCTTACATAATGCTAATAAGGAGTAGTATTATTTTTAATATTAGCCCATGTTGCCTTCGCACATGAGCTTGGCATCTTTTTATTTTTGAATAGTTCCACAAAGAGCAGGAGTTCAACTACACTGGATACTTGTCATGTCCACTGTTTTCCCCACAAGCAACTTTTTCTCCTATACCCTGATACGGATAGGAACGATCTACTGTGTACAAAACAAGTCCTGTTGAGTATTCAGTGCTACAAGCTTTAAGCCTGAAATAACAGGGTATTAAATCAAATAGCCACATATCAGAGAGCAGCAGCAATTGAAATAAGGGGTTTCAGTACCACATTCTTCTAGAACTTTGATTAAATACTACTCTGGATGAAATGTTTTCTTCTGTGGCATTCTCAACACAGAGAACTTGCATCCAAATTACAAATTGGCTTAAAAGTTGAAAATTTAAACAATTTCACTGGAGTGAAACAAAACAGATGCGTGGGAGCTGTCCAAGCAATAATGTCAGTGACAGGGTTAAACACTCTAGAGTCTTCTCGCATTTCCACTTGATCAAAGAATTATCAAGAAATAACAATTCCCCTTCAGGCATTTTGGACCTAACTCATGGACTCTGATTTCAATAGAAGTATGCCCATTAAAATAAGTGGGAACTAGCTCCAACCCTGAACAAGTCTGAAAGCAAAACCAGCTGAACTGGGAATGTTTTTGAGATTTGAAAAAAACATTCTTCTAGTATAAAGCTCTGGTGAACTGTAAAAGCATAGGACTTCTAGGGACTTTGGCCAGCCTTCTCAAGCTTCAGGAGCTAAACTCCTTAATTTCATCAGAGTTCAACCCCGAAAGATCTGCTATTCTGTTTAAGTAAACAAATCTTATACTCAGAAGAAACCCTTGCTCCCGATGTTTTACCTATCCTCCAAACACAATCCCATGCTGCAGGGTCATTCCTTCTGGATTCAACAGAGCGCGCTTTGGACCATGTCTCGGAATTAGCAGGCCAACCCAGCACTCCAGTGGGACAAGGCACTAAGACCAGTTCCTGATGTCAGCCACAAATACCACAGGAACTACAAAGGATTAACAGAACAAAGGGTCTGAGCGGTATCTGTAGGAAATTAATAATTACAAATTAGAGATACTACAGGCTTAATCCTGGATTTACAGGGATATGATGGAATGAGATGAAGTGTAATCAAAATGTCAGTTTAAGTATTCAACCTCTACGTAGCAGAGACAACACTGTAATTTATACAGACT